TACGTCTATGGATGAATTTGACTGCGACAATGTTTCAAAATTAGGAAGGGAAGCAGTGATTATTTGATTATATAGACGCTTCGCCTCTGGATACTGTCATTGTTATTATTGTTCTATACAAGTCACAAAAAGCATACCAGTATATAAGGTTGGGTTCTCGTTTTCTAGAGGTGCGGTATTCGTCTCTCATTCAGTAGGCCCGTGGTTCGAAACCTAACAGCAGCGCAAAGTTTTCTTCCCGAAATATTTTTCACCTTTCACCCCATTTCTTGCTCTCTAACCATGTTCTGTCGTCTGCTTTCGTCTCCACTTTCTGCTCTCCCCTCTCCTTTGCCCCCTCCTCTGGGCCACTGACTCTGTTAGCAGCCTTTCTACTTTTAATCCATGGCTCCTTTTTACTGTCGACTTTCAGCCACATCCCTGACCTTAGAGTAGGTCAGATCTAACACCTAGTTGAACTAGCCTTCTCGAATAAGGGCGAAAAAATCTCTGAGATCCCGTGTGCAAGTTGTGCACGTTTTAGAACCCTTGGTGATCCCAAAATCGGTAACAGATCGACGTCATACAGGCAAAATTCAAAATCAATTCCTATCAAACAGAAAATGTTTAAGGTGTTCCGCTCGCTCATTTGGCCGTATGCAGTTGCAAGCACTGTAATAAACTTATCAAATTTTGAAAAAGCCAGCCGGTATATTATTATGATCTCCTCTTCTATTTCCTTTCTTCGGAATCCATATCTCATCTGAGCCCTATCCACCTTTGGCATTATGATCTCTAGTAACTAAGATTTCGATTTGTGGATTCGCTTTTTTTATAGCCTGCAGCCTGCAGCTGATTAAGAACACTTTGTATATCTCTGATTTAGGCATCAACCCCCCCCCCCCGTTAAAAAAAAAAATTCCTGACTTGCCTTTCAATATCCTGCTCGCTGACTGTCTGCTTTACTCACCATTGGTCCTTTCACATAAGCCAGCTTTTTCACGAGTTCACAGTTTGGGCACCAGGGCAAACGTATTCACATAAACTCGTTTACAGACAAACTTAAGAAAAATTATCTCTATAGAGGCAGTGTTTTAAGTCAAATTTTACCCCATCCCTCCCCCCAATTTACCTTACAAGAAGAAGAAGAAAAAGAAGAAGAAGAAGAAGAGGACGGTGGTCGATTTAATTTTCAACTAGAACAAATTTACATTGCACGGAATTGAGAGTCAACCTGGGGGTTTTAAGGGTGATAATTTCCTCTCCAAGCCGTTTGAGAAACAGATGAGAATTAAAGTGATCGACATATTCCACATTTTTTGTCCTACTGTCGGGCCATTCTCGCCCTTTTTAAAGGGAAATTTGCGACAACGCTCAACCCGAATAGCAATTTACACATAAAACAACGCTTTGGCATATCATTATACCGCATGAAACAATGATAATAAAACCACCAGCAATCGCACTGTGGTAGCACACAGTATTTACCTGACAATTAGAAGTTTCGTCAAGCCCACCTCTCCCTTAGCTCTGTGTTTACATCGCGAAATCTTTACGTAGATCTAGGTAAACGTAATTTTACAAATTGACAACACATGTTGAAGGTTCCTTCCCCTTCTCCTGAATGCGAATTATTTGATCTATAACAAACTGTGGTCCATCATTACGAAATTGGCGCTTGACACAGGGCTGGGAATATTTGACAATGCAAAATAATAAGCACTTACAAACGATTATCGGGTTCTATATGTTTCAACGCTGATTTAAAAAAAATAATTAGAGAGTCATAACGTCTTTCTTGACACAAACGGCAGTACAAGTAAATGGTGGAAATGACAGGCAATCGAAAACTTAAAAATCAAAACGTAGAGGTTGATTTCGCATACATTATCATTTTTTTAGGTAGATGATTAGACGTAAGGTAACGATTACCAACTGAAAGGCGCACATGTAAGCGTGGCAGTTTTTCCAACTAAGATAAGTTTAAAAAAAGGCGAGGGGTTACTCAATGAAACTAGTACCCAGTATTTTAGTTCTGTATTTAGGCACGCAATATACCACAGGCCTACATGTGTTTGCTCAAATCTGCTAATAAAACCAAAGAGTTCTCGTTGCCACTCAATGTTTGTGAGCAGCATCTTACCGATAGGGACAGGCATAATAGAGACAGACAGTAATACTTGATAGCAAAATAGCTGTGCAGATTCAGTAACGGGTAAGTTCCCCGTCTCTTGAAAAATATACAATAACAAAAAAAAAAAAAAAAAAAGAGACAAAAAAAAAAAAAGACAACAAACAACCCCACAGTAACAAACAAAAGGAAAAAAACAACAACCCAAACCCCCCCCCCCCCAACAATATGTAAAATGTATGCTTGTGACAATGACCAATAGAGTAGTCAAGTGTTGCGCACGCTGGATGAAATCTTGCTGTGGGTTGTGAGCCCGTATCTCGGTAGGCTGTTGTTTGGATATGACTTAGCGTTGATATGACGTGTTGGTTCGCAATGGGCAGTCAGAAGTTTCAAAAAAATGTCCTACCTTCTGATCATGACTATATTTTAAATTTGCCTTCTAAATGTCTCGCTTTTTCTCAGCGCTGAATAAGCCTTCTTACGCCAACGTGCCTATATTTAACTCAAGCAAATGTTCCATTATGACCTTGCTTGGATCTCTTTGCGCCAGTTAGTTTGCCAGAGTAAAAGATGATGATGAATCCAGGTTTGATTATTTTCTGAAAATTGTAGGTTTACGTGTTTTTGCGTCCACATCGGCAAAATCTAGATCATTCAGGGCCAACCCAGCAGAAAGACCAAGATATTCGAGAAAAAATTTTAATCTCGTCATTCAGGAATCGAACTCGGTTCTTCTATGAGCGACAGCGAAGCGCCTAACCGCTATACCACTGACGCCAGTATAAATTTTATGGTAGCGATTCAATAGTCATACACTGGTGATCGTGAGGTGCAGAAGAGAAGCTTCCTTGGAAATTAATACACAAATTCTAGCTGTTTTACGCCTCATTGGGCCAACGTTTAGATCAATTAGGAGGCGGGCTGCTTGTATCATACCTGTCACGGCCAATCCAGACTGAGAGGGATACGACGACCTTGCGGACAGACGGAAATACAGGATTAATAGACCTCTCCACGGGGAAACGAAACTCGCGCCTTCACCACAGATACGGGTGGAATATAAGAAAGAAAAGCAGAAAAACAAAACTAAATGGTTAATTATGTGTAGAATTGAAACCCGCGTTAACATGGCGGGAGAATTTTTATCGAGTATCCCCGTCTTTCTAGTGGGATATTGTATTCCTCTCAGCCCGGGTCGCATGCAATAGACCCGAGTTCAGTTCTCGAGAGTACCCTGGGGTTTTTCTGCTGGGATGTTGTATCCCGCTCAGTTCGTGTTGACCCTGACAGGCAGGGTCGAAAGTCTGACTCCTAAATGATATAAACTGTGTCGGTGGGGGCGTACAAACACTTTCATTTTTAAAAAAAAGTATAAGACCACAAGTTGACCGCGAAGCTTAGCTCTTGATAACAAACTAAGCGCGTAAGTTGTTCCACGGATCTTTATTCATTGTATTCGAGTACCCACCATAGGGGGTTCCAGTGGCTGAATGATTAGTGCGTCCAGGCTCATAATTAACGTCAAGTGTGTGTCGGTGACCCTGCGTTTGGGAATAATAATAGTAATGAATAATGAATAGCATTTGCATCGAACACATTTCCGCTCTGCGCTTTATAATCTATATTACTACCCATGTAGACCTGATAGCACCCTGAAACAATTTCAACTTCCTGGGAGTATGCAGTGCAAGCAGCCATATAGGCGCTAAAATACGTCATGTGGGTGGTCACTGAGGTGTGTCCTTTAGCAAGACATGATAAGCGTAGCTCAAACCAGGGTGCTGCTCACTGATGGCAAGCGGTGTGCATTGTCTGTTTGTGATATCGTATATCATTCATGCATCCTTCATATGTCTTATGTATTTGTGTGTTTATATACGGCATTGTAAACAAATTCCCAAAAGAGTGGAATTTGATTATTTGGTTTATTACTATTATTTTACATGTTTTGTTTCAGAACTCTGCAAGAACAGGCCCCTTCTACAATAGAAACAGTATCGTCACTTTGTGGATTTTCCCATTGTTTGCAGTGCGGAGGTTCCATTCTCGAATCCCAACCTTCTTCAACCAACAGGATACAGACCACGTTCTACATTTAACACAAGAGCCGTTGGAGATATTCTCTATTGTGGATTTCTTCGCAGCAATAGTTCACATTCCACTCTCGAATTCAGCTATCGTTAAGTCAACTCATACTCAAGAGTTTAGTTAGGAAGAGTCTTCGGGACATTTTATATTTGTGGATTTCTTCACGACATTCAGTTCACAAATTTTATCATTTCTCAAACCAACGCATAAGAAAGAGTTTATAAGATGTCGTCGAAGGTTATTTGTGAATTTCTTCACTATTCACACTTCATTCTCGAATTTTAAGATTCGCATGATCAAGATTCTAAGAAACGTTTTCGGGAACATTTTTCTTCCCTCCATTAAGTGCTTACATCTTAGACTGTGGGTCGTTGGCAGGTGCTCTGGTGTGGTTTTGCTCCTTCTTTTCTATCAAACATCTCTCTTCCTTATCTCTTTATCTCTCCTTCATTTTTTGTGTTTGTTACTCTCTTGTAACATCTCCAATCCTCTGAACTTATATTGTGTTGGAAGTGCCGTAAAACTTTTACTAAAACAAATAAGCAGCGAAGACCCAGATGGCGCTGAGCGCTGACGAGACTGTGACCAGGAGAAGCAGCAGCGAGCTGGCAGATGATGACGTCCACAGTTCTGCTATGAATGCGCTGACGTCCACCCTGGCTACCCTCTTGTCTTCCAGCCAGAACGGCCAAGCTGGTGCTGGTCACGTGTCCAGGGGTGGCCAGGACGATGACGTCATAATGATGGCTCCGGGCAAGAACCTGGCTGATCGTCTCCACTTTGCCATGTTCGCTTTCGTTGGTCCTATCGTCTGTGTCTTCGGTCTGGCAGGAAATGTCTTGTCTGTGGTCACGTGGCGTCGACCTGGGATGCGGAGCTCCACTGGACAGTATCTTATTGGACAGGTAACCTGTGCCTCTAAATTGAGTTTATACTGTCGAAACTGTCTGAGACGGCCAATTTTACCTAGTACGAAACATCCACGATAAAAAAATGGAGCTAACAGTAGGGTTGCAGCTAGCCATAACTTACAGGTATAAGAAACAGCGGATCATCATGATGCGCGAAGACATTGGGGATGGAAATAAAGGGGGAGGGTGGATATACATTTCTTTTGATAAATACTGACCCTGCCTTAAGATCTGTCTCTTGTCACCGGCATCTGTAGTGTTGAGGTTTGACACTTTGCTGTCGAACGCAGAGGACGTAAGTTCAATTCCCCGGAGATTTTCCTTATCGAGTTCCCTCGTCTGTTTGCTGGGTCGCTATATCTCTCCCAACTCACGCTGACCCTGACAAGCAAGTCAAAGCAGAGCGCATCCTATATTATCTAAATTGTGTTGACAGGGGTGTAAAACAGCAACAATTGAAGGGTCAGAAAATACAGTCACATTGAGACACAGGGGTTGCTTTAAGAAAAATGAACCACCCCCCTCCCCAACAAAACAACAACTACCCCTAAACAAATCCCCCCCCCCGAAAAAAGCAGCTTGCCTTAAGGATAATGTACAGCAGAGTTTGGAAAATTTGCTGAAGTCTTAGCTCTAATTTTAACCCATCTAGTTATTTCATTCTATAAATGCTATATTGTGTAGTGTCCCCTGGCGTGTGTCGCCATACGTTGTTAGTACTCAATATTAATTAGCAAGATGCGACTTTTAACTCTTTTGGACGTGTCTAACACATATTGCTACCTCAGAATTGCAAAATATCTACCTGACATTTTTGGCTATTTTGAGTTACTAAGACCATGAGGTGGGAAACTAAATATAAATGTACTGTCTGCTCTATCAAAATCGACAATTATTCGGAGTCGTTATCAAAGTCTCCTTCTATTAAAAAGTCTTCCTTCTTTTTGTTTAAAGAACACTAAAGCAGCGCGTTTTCAAGCGTTGGCGAATAACCAGAATCTGCCCCTTCGGTGTGTGTGTGTGTGTGTGTGTGTGTGTGTGTGTGTGTGTGTGTGTGTGTGTGTGTGTGTGTGTGTATGTGTGTATGTGTGTGTGTGTGTGTGTTGTGTGTGTGTGTGTGTGTGTGTGTGTATGTGTGTGTGTGTTAAACGATATGTTAAACCCTTCATCTTTATAAAAATACAATAATATTATATCCTTATTTCTTGAACCCCTCCCCCCCCCCCCCCCAGGCGGTGGCCGACTTCTGGGTTCTGGTGTGTTTCATCTTCAACGAATTCCTCCGGGCCTGGGATCCGGCAGTGGACACGAGCCTGGTGTACGGCGTCTACTTCTCCTACATCGGCTACCCGGTCTTCTTCCTGGCCATCACCTGCAGCCTCTGGTTCACCGTGGGGGTCACCGTCGACCGCTACATCATGGTGTGCTGGTTCGCCAAAGCTCAGGTAATTACATGTACAATATTGTGTATAATTGTCTGGATCGATAAAAACCACTACCACCACCACCACAACAACAACATCAACAACAACAACTACAACGACAAAAACAACAACAAAAACAGCAACAAAACCCATCACACTACCACCACCACAACATCAACAACACCAACAACAACAATAACAACAACAACAACAACAACAACAACAACAACTACAACAACAAAAACAACAACAAAAACAGCAACAAAACCCATCACACTACCACCACCACCACCACAACAACAACAACAACAACAACAACAACAACAACAATAACATGTACAATTAATTTGTTGTCGGTTTCGGTAAAAGTCTACTTGAGCTCCCATACTTCAAGCATCATACTCGGGTTGGCCCTGACTGGCAGGGTTGAAGCAGCTAGCTTCTGAAATGATCGAAATTGTGTCGACGGGAGCGTTAAATATCAACAATAACAACAACAACCAAGGTGTATGACGTGTTCTTTTCCTACGACATCGGCTACCCTGTCTTCTTTCTGGCCATCACCTGTAGCCTCTGGTTCACCGTAGGGTCATCGTCGACGCTACACCATGGTCTGCTGGTTCGCCAAAGCTCAGGTTTTAACTTTTTATGTATGGTTTATCTGGATCGATAACACCCCACCCCCCAGCAACAACAGCAGCAGCAGCTGCAACAACCTTCGAATATAACATCCCTCTTCGGTAGAAACGAGCCAAATTGGTTTGGGACCATGAAAACCTCACAAAACGACTCGGGTTCAAGAGTTCCCATTCTGAGATTCGAACCAGAGCATGATACCAACTGAGCTAACTGAGCTCTCTATTTCTCTCTAATCATGCAGCACGTCTCTTTATTGGTGTTTTACATTTTCACGAGAATGTCTGAGGAGCAAAGTGTTAGGCAAGTTTAGCCAGATAATTGTTTTATTCGTGTTATATGCATCGAATTAACTGAATCGTGAGGACATTTCCCATGACTACATTTTACACTACTTTAAAACATTTTTCTACTCAACATAATATATATTTCTTGCTTCTTTTCTTTTGCAGCGATTGTCTAACGAGAGGCAAGCCAACTTTGGCCTGATGTTGATCGCTGTGAACAGTTTTATCGTCAACATCCCACACTTTGTATCCTTTAGGTAAAAACACATCTCCTTTCTGGTTGTCCAACCTGTGCCTATTTGGCTGAAGGTATGCTTGATAAATTTTGACCCGCCCCCCC